TATATATGACAGTTATTCGAAGACCGTGACCCCGTTGTTCTTTAGATACGACCCTCATATAGGGATAAACTTCTGCGCGGCTCGATCCGCCAGGCTATTGGAAACTCCGTACCTTCTATCGATACTGTTCAAGCCCTATCGACAACGTCGACTCTCCTTCCTGACCTGATCTACGGAACACTGACCCCTCATAGCATCTCTCCACTTACTAATGTCGGGTTGATTTTATGTAAGAAGCTGAATGAAGGAGACTACAGTCCGAGGCGTATTCTTGATCTATGTATACTCACCTCCTGACTTATATGGGGAGATGGCATTCCGGCGATGGGCGCAGAGGATACATGACGGGTTTTGGCTGTGATGATCCCCAAGGAACAGAGATTTCAGGGTTTATTTGATTTTCTACAAAGCGTTGCCTAATCGATGCAGCTGGGTAAGGCAGAATAGGCTTTCCGGGAGGTTCTGTTGCACACAAAGTTACAGTAAATGCATTCTGTCGCTAATTTCTCTGAAAGAAGTCAAACCCTGCAAAGAGGATGCATTTCCCCGGATGAAGGATACTGCTCAAAGCTAACCAAGAGGAAATCACTTAGATCAGGGAGGTAATCTATGGCTTCCGCAATGTTTCGTGGCGCCACTCAGCACCATGCTAAGCGGATGTGATAACCAGCTACACCATATGCCCGCCGGAAGAGCCTCGCGTTCGTCCCTGAATAATGATCTGCCCTCGAAATTCGTTTTGCAACCAAATTAGTAAATGTGTCATACATATCCATTTACATTGATCTAGGTCATGATATGGTACATGATATACATCCAGTACTGAGCTAATCTAGGACATATGCATCTGCTCCACCTCCTCGTATCTCCGATTCATCTTGATGGAAGGTTGGAACCTCCTTCCCAATGTTCATTACATATGACGCTAGATAAAAGTCCCACTCCTCACGCGGGCCAAAACACTTCCTGATCAGATCCACAGAAATCCCAGAGTAGTACAACTCGTCCGCCATATTCCCGTAGTCATCTTCCTTGTGACCATCTTTGCAACAATCGCCTTGCCGAGTCAAAGAAAAGTCAATGAGAACGCAGGTTAAAGTGGGGTCAGAAGCCGTGTGAGATGGTGAGTGCGTACAGATCCACTGCTCAGTGGACCAATCATGCTGACTTATATCAGCATATTGGAGAACACGTAGGGCATGTCGAGCACTTTGAATCTACAGAGAACGTTAAAAAATTGACGATGCAAAGTAATTTACACGCACAAATGCTGTCTGTGCAACCTCTGACTGTTCTTTCAATTTCCTTTCCGACGGGGTTACATACTCGAGCAAGATCCCAAAGACTGTGCGTCCGTCTTTGAGTGTAAACTGCATGCAGGTCAAGTGACATGAACAAAGTGTACATGGTGCTATCAAAATTCAACTTGAACTCACACTATGAGCACCGTAAAAGTGCGGGATGACCGAGCCCCACGCATGTTCGAGTCGGTTATATACAACTATCTCGTTGCGGATCATATCCTCTGCGGTATAAAAATTTTGAGACCACCAAAAAGCATATTTTTCGAGACTGGGGACGAATGCTGCACTATCGTCAAATAGTTTGACACATAGCTTTCGTGGTACATCATCCGAGGGCGGCGGCTGCCCGTCAACTGCGATAATGCGACAAGTAAATGTGCGTGCGTAACCGGTCCCCTCAGGTTGTGTCAGCTCTTCATCTAGCAAGACACTGAACGCCTGTGAACGATTGAACAACTGGATAAATTGGGGGAAAGAGCAGCGGTGTGCGGTGCGGAGGTGTGCTAATGTGTCTTCTGGAAGTGATTCAAGAGGATAGCGGTGCTGCCGAGGTATATGCTGCTGGAATCCATGGCACTTCGCCTGTAGGACTGTGCCTACAAGAACGGATTTGGGTCTTGCTTGCATTAAAGCCTTCCACCTGAGAAATTGTTCAACGAGAGGTTGACTGTTAGCTAGTGCGTATCTGTCGAAATCGGAATGAGCATGTCGATTGGCAAAGATTTCTTCGTCAGCTGGGAGAGGCAAATGAGGATTATTCGGCGCTCCGTGCGTAATAGTAAGCCGCTCCGTGTCCAGTGCGAGGTAGTCACGCGGCAGAGTTTTTTGAATATAACTAGCAAGAAGGTATCGGAGAGGGACAGTAGATGGTGATGGAGGCCGAACCTCGCACTCGGCTGCGGTAACTTGAAGCTTCTTATCGACAGCATTAATCAACACTGTGGTGGAGAAATCAGTGACAATAATCCAGTTTCCCTCCGAACGCCAACGATTCAAAGCTCGCCCGAATGAGGCGGACATCGGTAGTAAGAATTGACCATCTTCCACATCCTGTTTCAAGGAAAGAGATGGCTGCGAGGAAAGATTTATAACTCGGAGCAACAAGAGTGGGAGCGAACCTACCAAGAAGAATATAACTGGAAACTCGAGGGTGTCTGTGTTAAAATCACCAAAGAAATGTACTTCTGTGATCGCCAGTGGGTCTGAACAATGTTGAGTCACGGTCCAACACCGATGGCAACAAACCAATGACTCACCGTCGGCATCAATGAGTGTCACTTCGTACTCGAAGATAGGATATTCGGGGATTCGACGCAACTTGTTGATCAAAGCAACGATGGGGAGAATCACCTCTGACTTAACGTAGCCGTCGAAGGTCCTGCATTGATGAGATGAGTGGGTAATGGCTTGTGAGAGATAAGTACCTCGTGATTTCGGAAGTCTGTGGAACTGAGATCATAGTACGACGCCTCCCAAGTACTACATATTTAATGCAGGCAAGACAGTCAGAAGTTATGACTGGTTCTCTAACAATATATCGGATTTTCGGTTGATTGGCAATGGTGGACAGCTGAGAAGGGTGAGCAATGGGGGGAGGCAGAACGTTCTGATTGAGCAACGAAAGGGGAGACAGCTCGTCTGCAACTTGAACATTCTGGAGAGTTATGATTGAGTGATATGATCTTAGATGATCCAACTATACAATACTTTATATCGCCAGTCTTAGGAGACCACGGAATATAACTTTCCTGTGTGTGGGCATCCTCGTATGACTCACTTACGGATCATTAACAAAAATTAGGGCACTATTTGGATCAGGGGACAGGATAATGCGCTAATTGGCCGTCCCGGACTCAAGGCAGATGTTGGGAGAATGTATCGCTTGGTTGAACCATCCCGGATGGACTCGCTGAGCCCGCCTGCCAAAACGGGAACTAGCAAAAATAACCGCTCGTAGTCTCCGACTACCGACGACGGGGATCGAACCCGCAACCTTTGCCTGGTACAAGACCTTAGGAAGGCAACGCACTACCATTGTGCTACGACGGCTTGGTCAAAGCAACGAAACAGCAATCTATTACGGTAAGTCGGTAACACCTTTGCACTTCAGTAGAGATGCGAGATTCAAGCTCAAGCTTGGTATCAGGCAATGAATGTGCTAGTGTATCCCAGCACCCATGCATTTGCTCCTTCTCTTGTCCAAACGCTTACTTCGATTTTAACCCCCCACTATCTGCCACAGACACTCGCACCCTCTCTACTCTCCGTGCCGGAATATCCATGGCACACCGCTTGCGCACTCCTCGTACTTCTCGCCCAGCCGACCGATCATGCACCTCTGATAAAATACCTCGAGTCTGGCGGCAGGGTATTGGCGCTGGGCGTCGGCGTCAGGCAAGCGGGACTACTTGGACTGCAAGACTCAAGTTATGATCTTGGATCGCTATTCGCAGGTTTGGGATTAGGCGTGGCGAAAGATACGAATGTACTCAGAATTCCTGATGGAAAAGCGTCCCTCCACATCTCCTTTTCCACTGCTACTGGAACGAGTGCAGATGTATCAATCAACTTTACTACGGTCCCTGTATCCAGACTACCCTCCTTGTCTTTGGACCTTGATGCAAGTGGTGGACGCATCCTCGGTCGTTATGTCGAAGGGGATGCACCTGCTGGTGTCCTATCTCAGAGCGGGCTTGTTGCAATGTGGAATTGTGCTCCACCCCTCCCTGATATGCTGCTTTCACGCACCTTATATGCACTTGGCCTGCGCTTCTCTGCAAGGAAATCTGATTCTGGTCCTCAGCTTCGCATCCTGCCACAGCTTCTTCTGGCTCATCCAGATTCGTTGTACGTGCAGCATCGCGTCGTGGAGGCACTTCACGATCATTTAAGACCTGGGTCAACTATATCGCATACACATGTCGATGGTGAGATAGACAACACATTTCAGCATAGGCCGGAGTCCTTTGTGTTTGAGGATGCCAACGACGTATTCCACTTCCACTTTCCATCCCTCCCTTCCGCAGATGAAATCACCGATCTGTCTTCCCACCCCATAATTGAACTCATCCCACGAGATTCTCCTAGCTTTGTAGAGAAAGTAAAACATGTACTCGTGCTGCCGAAACCCCTAACTTCAGAACATGAGAACATGTACACCCCACATTTCTCTCCTTCAGCGTTCTTCCGTGCCATAGACGAGTTTCGCTCAGGGACAGAAGGCACTACCCAAAGTGCAAGCCAGGACTCCTGGCGCATCGGTGACGCACTCATGTATGGCGAGGCGGTCTCGAGCACACAAACCATGTTTGATAAGTGCGTGTCATCCAACCATGGACATCGGAACGTACGCTGAGACCTCTTAAGAAACCCGTCTTTCCTCCGTGCACTGCCTGTTCCTATTGTCTCCCTAGCCTCGATCCAGTTAGCAGGACGTGGCCGAGGTGGTAATTTGTGGCTTTCACCTGCAGGGTGCATGCAATTGTCGCTCAAGATTCGCATTGGCCTAAAGGGATCTTCGTCAGGTAAGACTAACTCACTCTTGCCTCCCGAATTTCGAACTGATGTTGTCCAGTAACCTACCCTGCCATCCGCCCCTCCAACCTCGTGTTCATACAATATCTGTATGCGCTAGCTGTGGTTGACGCTTGTCATGCCCTAGACCCGAGTTCGCAATGGGCACACAAAATTCGACTGAAGTGGCCGAATGACATCTATGGCCTTTTCCCGAGCGACAAGCCAGGATCAAAGTTGGAGCCAAGGAAGCTTGGCGGAATTCTGGTTAACACGAGCTTCGGTGGAGGTGTTGCCGACGTGGTAATTGGTGCTTGCGTTCCCTTTTCCTCATTTTGACTTGAAAGCTTATGTGCTGATAAACAGGGTCCGGCCTCAATGTGCTGAACGAGCCTCCGATTGCTTCGCTCGCCCAGCTTACCCCCTCTGACTCATTCACTTCAGGTCTTTCTGTAGAACGTGCAGCAGCAGCAGTCCTCACATCCTTCGAAAGAATATGGGACTCCTTTTTGCAGCAGGAAGAACAGGGTTTCCAGCCATTCATGGATCAGTACCTCAGATCGTGGTTACACTCGTGCGTCATTATCGCCGAACACAAGGCGTTTACTGATGCCTCCTGAGCAGAGACCAGCTTGTCACGCTCGCGACTAGAACTCCACACCGCAGTGTCCGCATTATAGGGATCACCCCCGACTACGGATTGCTTCGCACGATGCCGCTGAACGGTGGAGAATTCATTGATCTGCAGCCAGATGGGAACAGTTTCGACATGATGAAGGGGTTGATATCGACAAAGAAGCAATAAAACAAGTGTATCTACCTAATCTCATATTTTTGGACTCCAGGGGCGGGAACGTTTACCAGTCACATGTGGAGAGTTTCGAGAGGAAGATGAATTTGACAGAACAGGTTACAGGTCGACACTAACGTCAATACAGCCTCTAGAATGACCCGACCATTGCGCGAGTATGACAACGCACAAGATAATACCTGGAAAGAGTTACTAGTAGCTAGCATGAAGAAGAGAGGAGACTCGATAAGCAATTGAACTAGTCAGAATTCAAAGAACGTATCTCGCGAGTATAATAGTTATGCCTAGAATCCCTTGATACGTATATAGAGGCAAGACGAACTATATAAAACGATAAAGATAATCAAGCCAGCTACATGGAGTGGATACTGGCGGTAGAAAGAGCATGAAAAGTAGAGGGCTAACGACATGCTAAGTATTGTGGGTAACACGGCCAAGCATGACAAGACGTTGGCCCGTACATGCTTAGGCCAGCGATGAAACGGTCGTCGTCTCACACCGTTTTCCTGCGCCGTATACGTCGCGTAGTGGCCTAGAGCCCACTTCCCAACGATAACGGCAAGGAAAACAAGAGGGGGGATGAAGAGACAAACGTTCATCACACCTTGTGCAACCAGAGATATGAACGAAGGCGCTCCGAAGATCGACAGGGGTGTTTCGCTTGTGAACGTGCCATTGCAGATGGTGATGAAGACGTCGGTGAGCCCAGCTACAAGCGTCGTATGGCTGGTGTATAAACGGCTGTCGGGCTGAAAGCTGAGTCGATACATTATTGCGGTATAAATGACCACCTGAGCGTTAAGTGTCAGTTTTTTAGTACATCCCAGATGCATATTCGAAATACTCACGCTGGTTGGTAAGATGTAGATTCCATAACGCAGGTCAAGCACCCGCAGCTTCCGCTCCTCTTCCCTGACATATTTTTCCTCCAGTAACCGTTGCTTCAATGCTTCGCCATCTTTGTGCAACTCGGAGACACATTGGGGCCTAGAAGGAATTAACAGTTACCGAGGCTCGCCGTCACCGATTGACTTACTTGTCTTGCGCCTCGAGCGAACTGTCGACTTGAGTTGGATGACCGTCCATTATTTCGTGTGTAGTGGTTGGGGTTCAGGTGAGTGCCAGATATCGAACCCCTAACAAGCATTATACATCTCATCCCTCGGATCCGTGATGTTACGCAAGCACAAGTGACAGGGCAGAAAAAGGCCAGACGTGGATAAAAACCCGAGAGAAGGTTTTCGAATGGTCGCGAGGATACAAAGAACCTGCTGAGATCCTCATATGAATGCGCGATCTTTGGTACATGAACCAAGGGGGAACTGTCTTCCCGCTGTTCTTTGCACCAAACCGACAAAAGGGATCGGAGATCCCCTGATCCAACTTTACAGGGGTTCTTTGACAATTAGGCAATATGTCGTCCAAACAAAGGGCGGCAAAGCACATTCGTATTTTGATTGTCTGCGATTCATTGCGTGTCATGGCTATCCTGGTGAGTCTGGCATCGTCCTTTCCGAGCCCTGTCACTACGAAGTTGATTGGCGATCGGAGTGGACAAGAAGCATAAAATATGGGATCTACTACTCGCCATGATCCACATTGCCATCATCTACCGCGACAGGGGCGTGAACTAGTTGCTCTTCTCTTGCTTTGATCATGGAGAGCCTGAACAAGCTGATGGTTGCCCGCACTTACACGATGCCGCTGAACGGTGGAGAATTCATTGATCTGCAGCCAGATGGGAACAGTTTCGACATGATGAAGGGGTTGATATCGACAAAGAAGCAATGAAACAAGTGTATCTACCTAATCTCATATTTTTGGACTCCAGGGGCGGGAGCGTTTACCAGTCACATGTAGAGAGTTTCAAGAGGGACTTCGATGGATTTGATAGAGCAGGTCGCAGGCCGATACTAACGTCAACACAGCCTCTAGAATGACCCGACCATTGCGCGAGTATGACAACGTACAAGATAATACCTGGAAAGAGTTACTACACGAAGAAGAAAAGAGACTCGATAAGCGAAAGTCAGAATTCAAAGAACGTACGTATCTACGTCACAGGCCAAACGAAATGTGTAAAACAACAAAGGTAATCATGCTAGCTATAAGGAGTGGAAACTGGCGGTAGAAACGGCATGAAAAGTAGAGGAATAACGTCGCGGTAATTAGTATGTGCAATGCGGTCAAGTATGACAAGACGTTGGCCCGTACATGCTTAGGCCAGCGGTGAAACGGCCGTCGTCTTACACCGTTGTCCCCCGCCGTATACGTCGCGTAGTGACCTAGAGCCCATTTCCCGATGATGACAGCAGGGAAAACAAAAGGGGGGATGAAGAGACAAATGTCCATCACGCCTTGTGCAACCAAAGATATGAACGAAGGCGCTCCGAAGGTCGACAGGGGTGTTTCGCTTGTGAACGTGCCATTGTAGATGGTGATGAAGACGTTGGTGAGCCCAGCTACAAGCGTTGTATGGTTGGTGTATAATCGGCCGTCGGGCTGAAAGCTGATTCGATACATTACTGCGGTATAAAGCACCTGAGCGTTAAGTGTCAGTTTGGTACATCCCAGATGCATATTCGAAAAACTCACGTTGAGTGGTAAGATGCAGGTTCCATAATACATGTCAAGCACCCGCAGCTTCCACTCCTCTTCCCTGACGTATTCTTCCTCCAGTAGCCGTTGCTTCAATGCTTCGCCATCTTTGTGCAACTCGGAGACA